ATTAGATGCTAGGAATACAAAGATAAAAATGTCAGTCCTTACTCTTATTGTGCCTATAGTAAATCAAGTGAGACAACTTGTTCATATTCGTAATTCATAAAGAATTACAGGATAATTTGGTTTGGGGAGAGAAGGCCACTAGCTGGGAGTGATTGGAAAAGGCCTAATGTAGAGCATTCACCTTCTCCTCATCCTACTCAAGCTTCAGTGGTTCCCTCATGGAATTAAAAAACAAACCCCTTGACTTTTAAAGCTCCTTTCCCTTCTTAATTTTTCAGACTTCTTATAGTTTACACTCATACCTCCATGTACACTGTCATCCAGTGACACTGGCCTTCTTGCTGTTCCTCATACAAGACACTCCATCTCCGAAGTCCAGGAATTGTCTTTAGCTGTCCCTCATACCTGACATGCTTTCTCTCTTTATCTTTGCCTTCTGTTCTTCCTGGCATCCTTCAATTCCCAGCTAAAATCCTGCCTTCTATAGGAAGCCTTTTCTAATACATCTTAATGCTAGTGCCTGCCCTCCACAATTATCTCCAATTACCTTGTATGCATGCAGTTTGCATATTGTCTCCCCCATTACTCTTTAAGCTCCTTGAAGGCAGGGGCTATTTATCACTTTTCTTTATATCCCCAGCACTTTGCACAGTTCCTGTCACATAAAATGGGCTCAATAAATGCTCTTAACTTGTTCTTTTTTTGGCACAGAGAGAACTCCAGCAAATATCTGAATAAATGAAGTCCCAATCACTGCTTTGTAATACCTCTGTGTCAGATCTGTAATCTGTTTCCCAAACCTTCTCATCTATTTCTTCTTTCTGTTCAGATGATCTGTAGTATACTATAGTGATAAAGAAGAGTTCTGTTTTTGCCTCCATTGACCTTCAACCAAATATTCTTCATCATGCTTCTTCCATCTGGTTCCTTTTCTCTCTTTATATGATTGACTATACTGTTGCAATATATACCGCTGCTTTCATCTCCCCTCCCTTGTACTTACTGATCCTGTTTCTTTTTTTTAAGGTGTATTTATCTAGAGCCATGTTATACCTATCCAGAGTGATAGATTTTTTTTTTCATTACATAATGAGGTCAAATTTGTCTTCTTGTTAGAATGTCTACCTCCTCTTATTTATTACCTAAACTTTGAAACCATGGGTTTTACTACTGGCTTCTTTAAATGATTTTATGTAACTCTAAAAATTTGTTTTAAAATTCACTTTGGGGGGCAGCTAGGTGGCGCAGAGGATAGAGCGCTGGCCCTGAAGTCAGGAGGACCTGAGTTCAAATCTTGCCTCAGACCAAACACTTGACACTTACTAGCTGTGCGACCCTGGGCAAGTCACTTAACCCCAATTGCCTAAAACAAAAACAAAAACAAAACAAAAAAAATAAAGTAAAATTCACTTTGGCAAGACAAACAGCTGCGTATAAAATGAGTAAATGTACAA